AGGGGTCCCTAGCTGTCTTTTCCGGTAAATCCTCCCCAGACTTGGGCCAACGTCCTCGACTCACAACTCCAGGGATCCGAGTTCAAATCCCCGGGCAGGACAGAAACGATTGGGCACGTTTCCTTCCATCTGATGCCTCTCTTTACCTTGCAGTAGATAGGGACCCCGGTAGTCAAGGAACTTTGTGGGTTACGTCCTGAAAAATAAAGATCAGTTAAGGAGTTAGGTGTCAGACTAACAAAGTGTTGCTGAGAGCGTGTCAGGGTGCCAGGGTGCCAGGGCCCGGGTGCCACTAGGGCGCTGGGGGTGCCAAGGGAGTGCTGTTACTAACATGGCGGCCGGGAATTTTGCGCCGCGGAAGAACAAGGGAGGACCTTGCTTTGATGAGGGGTGAGCTCTTAACGTAAGTGTCTCCCGCTCTTGCTCTTGACAGCATGACCTCCCCCCCCTCTCCCGCCGTCCTCTACAAAAGATGGTCCACTCACTCCCCAGATGGTCCATGCACTCCCCAGATGGTCCACCCGCCCTACCCTTCTGCTACACAGTAAAGTAGTTTTCGAGGAACCCCTGGCCCCCCCACCACCCCCTCCTCACCCCCCCACCCCCTCCTCACCCCCCACCCCCTCCTCACCCCACGCCCCTCCATCATCCTCACCCCTCATGTCTTCCGCCAACATGAGGACACTTCTCACTCCTCTCTACCCCTCACCATTCTTCCCTCCCTCCCTCCCTACCCTCCCCCTCCTTGCTCTCCTCTCACTATCACTTGACCCCTAACTGCGTCGCCAAGACGACCCTGACCCTCCCCCCCCCCTCCTCCCCCCACGCGGGTACATCATATATCTTTTCTTCCGGATATAGATATATAATTGTTTAGGGCGTGTTACACACAGAATTCCAAGCGGTAAACAGAGTTGTTTGTTCAGTTAGTGGTGTATACGACGCAGGTTAGCAGTGTGTGTGTGTGTGTGTGTTTTTACCTGTCAGCATACACAGTTTACCTGTCTCATTGGACAGTGTTTGCCTGTCCTTGTCTGCGGGAAGCTCTGAGGAGCCTGGAGCGTCGTAAGTGTCAAGCAGTTAACATTCACTGTCGTATTTGTTCTTGAACAATGAGGACGGAAGTGGCGTCCACAACTACTGATTGGAAGCTACCAGTCGGGTCTAAAACCTGTACCGACATGAACATTATGACATTATAGCGACATTATGACGGAGTAGCGATGACGTAGGGGGTACATACCTTCCTCAGGTCTTGACCCTACTCAGTGATCTCCCGTCTATAAACTGCACTTCCAGCTTCCAACTATGTCTGCTCATCTTATTATCCTTCCTTGCGGGAAAAAATTGTTCCCTGTCCGCCTTATTACCCTCTGTATTTTGTACGAAGTGATCATGTCTTTCTCTGGCTTCTTCTCTCCTTTGCCAGGGTGTAACAGCTGTCTAACTCCCAGGTACCTATTTACTGCTAGGTGAACAGAGGCATTAATGTGAAAGAAACTATCCATTTCTTTCCGCCTCCGCCGGGAATCGAACCCCGACCATTAGGACTACGACCCCATAGCGCTGTCCACTCAACCGCGAGGTGTGTGTTTGGTGAGTGTGCTTTCTTGCGTGTATGTATATCTGCAAGCGTGCAGGCGTGCTTGCCTACGTACTCACCTAATTGTGCTTGCGGGGGTTGAGATCTGGCTCTTTGGTCCCGCCTCTCAACCGTCAATCAACAGGTGTACAGGTTCCTGAGCCTATTGGGCTCTATCATATCTACACTTGAAACTGTGTATGGAGTCAGCCTCCACCACATCACTGCCTAATGCATTCCATTTGTCAACCACTTGTGTGTGTGTACTCACCTAGTTGTACTCACCTAGTTGTGTTTGCGGGGGTTGAGCTCTGGCTCTTTGGTCCCGCCTCTCAACCGTCAATCAACAGGTGTACAGATTCATGAGCCTATCGGGCTCTGTCATATCTACACTTGAAACTGTGTATGGAGTCAGCCTCCACCACATCACTTCCTAGTGCATTCCATTTGTCAACCACTCTGACACTAAAAAAGTTCTTTCTAATATCTCTGTGGCTCATTTGGGCACTCAGTTTCCACCTGTGTCCCCTTGTGCGTGTTCCCCTTGTGTTAAATAGACTGTCTTTATCTACCCTATCAATCCCCTTCAGAATCTTGAATGTGGTGATCATGTCCCCCCTAACTCTTCTGTCTTCCAGCGAAGTGAGGTTTAATTCCCGTAGTCTCTCCTCGTAGCTCATACCTCTCAGCTCGGGTACTAGTCTGGTGGCAAACCTTTGAACCTTTTCCAGTTTAGTCTTATCCTTGACTAGATATGGACTCCATGCTGGGGCTGCATACTCCAGGATTGGCCTGACATATGTGGTATACAAAGTTCTGAATGATTCTTTACACAAGTTTCTGAATGCCGTTCGTATGTTGGCCAGCCTGGCATATGCCGCTGATGTTATCCGCTTGATATGTGCTGCAGGAGACAGGTCTGGCGTGATATCAACCCCCAAGTCTTTTTCCTTCTCTGACTCCTGAAGAATTTCCTCTCCCAGATGATACCTTGTATCTGGCCTCCTGCTCCCTACACCTATCTTCATTACATTACATTTGGTTGGGTTAAACTCTAACAACCATTTGTTCGACCATTCCTTCAGCTTGTCTAGGTCTTCTTGAAGCCTCAAACAGTCCTCTTCTGTTTTAATCCTTCTCATAATTTTAGCATCGTCCGCAAACATTGAGAGAAATGAATCGATACCCTCCGGGAGATCATTTACATATATCAGAAACAAGATAGGACCGAGTACAGAGCCCTGTGGGACTCCACTGGTGACTTCACGCCAATCGGAGGTCTCACCCCTCACCGTAACTCTCTGCTTCCTATTGCTTAGATACTCCCTTATCCACTGGAGCACCTTACCAGCTACACATGCCTGTCTCTCCAGCTTATGTACGTGTGTGTGTGTGTGTGTGTGTGTGTGTGTGTGTGTGTGTGTGTGTGTGTGTGTGTGTGTGTGTGTGTGTGTGTGTATGTGTATGCGTATATGCGCGGGAGACATAAGGAAAACATTTACACAAACACAACACGTGTGTACGAAACTGAGCCAGCATAAATCAGAGGAATTCGTCCAGCAGCAGCAGCAGCAAGGTCGCGACGACTGGTACACCGACTCGCCATGGGTGCCACACGCCATACAGTGTGACTGGCAACCTCTCCCCTTACTTTACTGCCATTGTTGCCAGCGGCACGCAGGCTTTAAGTATAGTTCTCTTAACTCGTCACCACGCCAAGGTTACCACCATGCTCAGGGCTTCACCCGGAAAACAGGAAAAGATTATATATATATATATATATATATATATATATATATATATATATATATATATATATATATATATATATAAAATCAAACAACAGCTACTGATTCATCCGGTACTTTCACTGCTAGCCCGTCAGGGGTTCTATCTTGTACTTTCACTGCTAGCCCGTCAGGGTTCTATCTTGTACTTTCACTGCCTGCCTGCCAGGGTTCTATCTTGTACTTTCACTGCTAGCCAGTCAGGGGTTCTATCTTGTACTTTCACTGCTACCCAGTCAGGGGTTCTATCTTGTACTTTCACTGCCAGCCAGTCAGGGTTCCATCCGGTACTTTCATTGCCTGCCAGTCAGGGGTTCTATCTTGTACTTTCACTGTCAGCCAGTCAGGGTTCCATCCGGTACTTTCATTGCCTGCCAGTCAGGGGTTCTATCTTGTACTTTCACTGCCAGCCAGCCAGGGTTCCATCCGGTACTTTCACTGCTAGCCAGCCAGGGTTCCATCCGGTACTTTCACTGCCAGCCAGCCAGGGCTCCATCCGGTACTTTCACTGCCAGCCAGCCAGGGTTCCATCCGGTACTTTCACTGCTAGCCAGCCAGGGTTCCATTCGGTACTTTCACTGCCAGCCAGCCAGGGTTCCATCCGGTACTTTCACTGCCAGCCAGCCAGGGTTCCATCCGGTACTTTCACTGCCAGCCAGCCAGGGCTCCATCCGGTACTTTCACTGTCAGCCAGCCAGGGTTCCATCCGGTACTTTCACTGCCAGCCAGCCAGAGTTCCATCCGGTACTTTCACTGCCAGCCAGCCAGGGTTCCATCCGGTACTTTCACTGCCAGCCAGCCAGGGCTCGCGGCCTGGCTTCACGTACGGTGATAAAAATATACGCCTGACGCACTAAAATTACAGTGACACGAGAATGCTGGCACAGACATACATCAAGGGCTGGGGGGGGGGGCTCCACACGTCACTGCACGCGCTTATTCATACAGCGACCTCATACACCTGTTGTATACTCAGATATACATAGTCTCAAATGCAGACATGATAGAGCCCAATAGGCTCTGAAACCCGTGTACCATTTGACTGACAGTTGAGAGGCGTGACCAAAGAGACTCCAATTCACATCTTCATAACTTTGCATTTGTCTGAATTAAAATCTAAATTCCACCTCCCGAGGAATACGTCACAGATCTCTGTTCTGAACCACTTTAGGTAATTTTAGGTCTTTTTTAGACCTTTTTTTAGACCTTTTTTTAGACTTTTTTAGATATGGAACACGCTGGGTCCTAGAGTACCGACTCCTAGTAGTACTCCATCGTCTGGTCTGACAGCGGCACTTCTTTCATGAAGTCAGTGCTGCTTCCCTAATGAGTGCCATGAGTGCCTCACACTCTCATATATCAATTGAGATTCCTCGGTCCATTTCATTCCAATATTTCCCATGCACGACACATTTCTTCCATCCATCAATCTCCTCATTTCCTCAGTTTGATGGGGTGCGTGTGATCTCTAGGGAAATGAAGTGACGGATTGAAAAAGAAAAGAATGGACAGATTTTCACAATTAATTCTATCCATCAGTCGTAATCTTCCTCAGCGTTGTCAAGCGCTTCCTCTGGTAAGTTGCTATCTCTGTTGCCTTCCACATTTTCTCTTCCTAAGCTGATTGGCAGCTCCTGCCTCGCCCCTGGCAGCTCCTGCCTCGCCCCTGGCAGCTCCTGCCTCGCCCCTGGCAGCTCCTGCCTCGCCCCTGGCAGCTCCTGCCTCGCCCCTGGCAGCTCCTGCCTCGCCCCTGGCAGCTCCTGCCTCGCCCCTGGCAGCTCCTGCCTCGCCCCTGGCAGCTCCTGCCTCGCCCCTGGCAGCTCCTGCCTCGCCCCTGGCAGCTCCTGCCTCGCCCCTGGCAGCTCCTGCTTCGCCCCTGGCAGCTCCTGCCTCGCCCCTGGCAGCTCCTGCTTCGCCCCTGGCAGCTCCTGCCTCGCCCCTGGCAGCTCCTGCCTCGCCCCTGGCAGCTCCTGCTTCGCCCCTGGCAGCTCCTGCCTCGCCCCTGGCAGCTCCTGCTTCGCCCCTGGCAGCTCACATCAGCCCTCGTCAGCTTCGAACTGTATGTTTACACACCTCTTTTTGTTTCATTCTTATTCTCTTCATCTGTCAGACTGCCTATCTTCCCGCTCTCTCCCTATCTTCCTTCCTCCCCTTCTCCTCTTCCTCTTCTCTCTCTTCATCTTCCTCTATCTCTCTTTCCCCCCCTTTCTTCCTCTCCTCCTTCCCTGCCTTCTTCTCTTCCTAGAATTATTATTGCATTAAAACACTCGTGTATTCTGTAAATAAGAGAAAATCAGACGAGCAGATATAGGTG